CTGGTTTTTGCAGGAGAGGGGCGGTGCCATCAATATGGTGCGAGACTTTGTAGCCGCGGGCATGGTGCTTGAACAGTTTTACCCATGACGAGTAGGGAACCTTGGTACCATCCAAAACTCTGACTTTGTTTTGAATGTTTGTCACAATGTATATAGGATGAAGGGGTTTTGTGGGGTTTGGTTCATCACCGGGCATGATTGATTGGAGAAGAAGATGACAGTCGTGGCTGTCAATGGATTAGTTTTAGGGTTCTGTGGAATTACGCTCTGATACCATAAAGGTTTCCGTGGAATTCCCTTCCTTCTCATTAAATCAATACACAAATATATAGATACATAATAGTTAACTTACCTAAATTACAGGAGGCTAAATATAGAAGAATATATACACGAATATACAACAATAATAGTAATGACTAATAATTATATGTGATGCTGTTACGAAGTTTGTCAAGTTATACGAAAATTTGAGTCCTCAAATTACTCAACTTTCTACGAATGACAGCCAGAGTTTCGTGGAGGTCATTACTTTGCTAAAAGAGCTGAAAGAATTATCTGTCAAGCCTGTTTCCTCTTCGATCATTACACCGGAATTCTTATCTCAGAAGTTTTCTCAATTTGAAGATGTTTTGCATAAACAGTTGGCTCCATTGTCCAGGATCTCAAATCTTCTACCAACAGATGCCCCACCTGTTAACACAGGGGTGCAACGGGGAGAAAAGAAGGTTGGTGATGCGAAAGTTGGTGTGAGTTCGCATGAAGATGTTAAGATTGTTGGGAAACTTTATTCAACAAAGATTCCATCAACAAAACTAACTCTTTCATCTGCTGGGACAGTTACTTCAACAGTTGTTACCACGAAACCAATTGTTTCTACTGCTGCTCCAGTGACTTCGACAGTAGTAACTACAAAGGCAATTGCCAAAGGAATTGTGATTGGTTCTTCTGGTGAAGGTGGATGTAGTTCTAAACCAAAGGAAGTTGTTGATATTCCTGGGAATAAAGATAAAGGGAAAACGATTGTTGTGGAAAAATCGAAAGAAGAAAGGAAAGCCGAAGTGGAAGCTGAAATGGAGAAGCAAAGGGTGATTCAGAGCATTATGCGACTTCGTGCTAGTGATCCTCCTGGAATGAACAAAGGTGATCCAAGCAAGCATTACAACTATGAAACGATCGAAGCGAAAGTTTCATATAATCATATGTATGCCTTTCTGAAGAAGCCGAAGCAAAGCTATGTTGTTGCTAATTCTGATATGAACCAACTGGATTTCCCTGTGAATGAGATGATGTTCATTATGGCTCAATACAAAATTGCTGAGAAGTTTGATAATGATGATGAATACACATATATGAAACTTAGGTTTCATGTTGTACTTGGGAAACTTCCAAAGGAGATTTGGTCTTTAATAAAGATAAAGAAAGTGATCAGTATTACAATGGATGTTCTGTTCGAAAACATGATGCAGAATTTTCGCTTTCATGTTGCAAGGGCAAATGGTCAAATTTGTGATTTATCTGTAGCAGATTTTCCTTTAATGAACTTGTATGACCTTATACAAGTTGCATTGATTTTAAAAGATAAGAACGCTTCGCATCTTCAAGGAACGGACCCAGAAGTATTTAGACTTGGTCTTGCTCACATCAAAATATTCATAGATAATTACTATGAGTGTTTGGCTCTAACTGATGTGGAGTTGGCTACTGCGAAGGGGTTGGAAGTGAAAGTTCCGATGGAAATTCCGAAGACTCAAGCTGAGTTGAAAAAGTTTGCAGATGGGGAGATCTGCTTAAAGCCATTTGGAATGGTCTTCGCAGGAAAGGACAAAAATGGGAAGGCTAAAAGATTTTTGTTCCAGGCAAACGAAATAGAGAGATACACTACATCCCAGTATACGAACTTTATTGTTCGTATGAATAACTGTTCGAAAAACAATATTGGGGATAAGAAGGAGCTGAAGAAGATTATTTCTTGGTACACGGAAATTCGAAGGGTGATGTTGTATGCCATACAGATTCTCACGAACTGAAGAAGATCGACATTATTACAAAGGGGGAGATTGTAAGGGTCGAAGACCAGTTGTAATATGTCGAAGGCTTAATATTATTTTACAAGGCATTTTTGTAACGAAGCTTAGTGTTTTAGTCCTTGTAATTTTTTGTATGCTTTCATGTTTCCTATAAATAGGAACATTACTTAGAGTTAGATAAGAGTCTTTGTACGAACTTGTCTACTTTCTCTCTGTAAGAATTGAAAGCATAATAGAGCTGAAACCAGATCATATTTACATCGGGTGTTCGAATTACATTTTTGTTACTCTGATTTGTTACATTCTCGATTCATCACTTCATCAAATTCTTCTATCTTTTGGACCTTGAATATCAAAAATTCCAGTTTTAATATCATTTTATTCAAATAAATCCAAAATGTAACGCCCCGATTTTCAGGTATTGAATTAATATAAGAATTTTCTTGATTTCAAGGGCTACTCGACGAGTTGGTTGCCCTACTCGTCGAGTAGCAGCGGGTTTATCCACGTGTGTTAGTGACCTACTCGCCGAGTCCAAGAAGGGACTCGACGAGTACGAGCTGGCAGATGAAACCCTAAATTTCAGGGTATTGCACCCTATTTAAAGGATCATTGGCCTCCCCCAGCCTCCCCTTTACTGCTTCTTGTCCCTCTCAAACCCTAATCGAGTGTGTGTGCTCCATTTGTGTTTTCTTAAGCTTGGAAGAGGATTTTTGGAGGAAAGAGCTTGGAGATCAAGTATCCAGAAGCAAGGAACTTGTGGGATCCAAAATTTATTTTAGTTGGCATCTTTTGGAAGGTATCAAATCGCTATCCTGACCTCCTTTCATTTCTAGATCCCTTTTGGGCAAATTTTAGGGCTTTCCTAGTGTGTTTGGAAGCTTTTCTTGTGTATAAGCTAAGATCTGAAGTTGTAACTTCAAATCTGAACTCTCTTGGGCTTCTAAGTCCATAAAGCTTCTAGCTCTTGCAAGGATGAGACTCTCCTAAGGTGTAAAGCTCCATTAGAAGCTTAGATTGGTCATTTAGAGCCTCTAGGGCCTTGCATGCACGTAAAGTTTGCAACTTTACGTGATAAACATGCCTTAGAAGCTTGGATCTGTAATCTGGAACCTTGGCATGGTTTAAAAAGTGTCTGTATGGATGAAGGTCTGAAGGGACTCGGCGAGTTGCATAGTCAACTCGACGAGCCACATGAAGATGGCCATGTACTCGACGAGTTGGATGAACAACTCGGTGAGTCCGTTGAAGATTGCCTTGAACTTGGCGAGTCGGTTAGGGTTTCTCTCAACCTTTGGACACGTATGAACTCGACGAGTTATAGGGGAACTCGACGAGTCGACCTAGGAATTCACGACTTCTCGAGTCCAGGAAGAACTCGACGAGTTGGGTCAACATGGACTGTTGACTTTGACTGTGGACGTAGACTTTGACCAAGGGTTGACCAGTTGACCTCTGGGGTATTTTGGTAATTTGGAAATTTATGAAAAAGGGTTTTATGGTAACTATAGGTGGTGGAGTTCGTGTTGGCGATTCGAGAGTTGAGCTTATCACTTCAGTGCGACATTTGGGAGTTGGGTTATCCTCACTATACTCAAGGGTTTAAGGCACCAAGGCCGGCCCTTTGGATTGTTATCTGGTTATGTATTGTGGTATGATCTGTTAGATCAGCATCCTAGAGGGTAGGATAATATTATGTGGTATGTGGTATGGCCTGTTAGAACGGTATCCTAGAGGGTAGGATAATATTATGTGCTATGTGTCATGATTCGCCAGATCAGTAGTTGTCTATAGACTGTTATGTGGTTATCTGTTATGTATGTGCACATGTTTGTTTGGCGGTTGAGGCTGATCTGCTTTGTGCGAAAGCCAATAGACCTGGGCATTCCAACCTGTTGGTTGTGGGCCGCGAGTATTCCATCCCGAGGATGATTGGACTCATAGTACGTGGGCATTCCAACCCGTTTGTTGTGGGCCTGGGGTATTCCATCCCGAGGATGATTGGACCCATAGTATGTTGGCATTTCAACCGGATGGTTGAGGGCCTGGGGTATTCCAACCCGATGGTTGACTGGACCCATAGTATGTTGTTTATGATTATATGTGTATTGTTGTGGGTATGGGTATTTTGGGGGAACTCACTAAGCTCTCGGGATTACAGTTTCAGTTTATTGTTTCAGGTACATAAGGGGATCGCGGCAAGGCGAAGGCGTGATCGTACAGCTCCTCATGTTTTGTTTATGCTTCTTGGAAAATTCTGATATGATACATTTTGAAAACAAGTTTGTAATAGTTAATGGATTTTGTAATGTTTTTTTAAAAAGGTTTAAATTGGCTTGAATTTTTGGGTATTACACAAAAATTTGAGAAATATCATGAATATTGAATTCTTTTTTCATGTCTTTTTACTTTATGACCAAAATACCCTTATCCTTCAAAAACACCAAAACCATCCCAAGACTATTCACATTCTTTTGCACCAACATGTGCATCCATTTCGAATGGCTCGTAAAATTTTCCCATCTGATTAGTAACATGGAGTTAGCAACTAAGAAAAGCGCATTCTATAGAAAAATATTTGATAATTGTAGATCTTATGTCCATATTAGGTAGATGACTTACCTTAAAAATAGAACCTTATCCATATGTTGCGACTTGAACTTCCACCATTGTCTTTATATTTAACAAAAATCATACCGTTTCAATTACTTGCAGATTGTAATACAATTCAATCACTTGTGACCAAAAAGGACCAATTACCTGGCCACCTAATAAACTCTCCAAAAAGTCAGGAGGCAAGTATAGAGTTCTTGGATCATAATTTTCATTACCATAGTATCTCTTCTTGGCATCCTTCCAGGTTCTACTCTACAAAAAGTTTTCATCAATACAATATAATACCAAAAGACCAGCATAAAAATCAATTAAACTGCATTTTTGTAGAAACTACAAAGAGAAAGGAAGAAAGCGGTATTAATCCACTGCGTGCCGCCATAGTTTTGGATATGATTTGTTATTGATTTCCTGCGATGCAGCATGAAATATATTTACATTTGTCCCTGATTTTATGCTTTCTTAATTATAATAATTGTTAATGAATTCTTGCTCATTTTAAGAGAATAATTGAAAGGAATCGAAAAACTCTGACAATATTAAACAAATTAGACAGTGAAAGTAAGTCACAACTTACAAAAAAAATATACGTGATCTTATTAGTTTTGTTCAAATATTACCTCAAGAACCACATCCGGATTTATTTCTGATAAAGTTTGGACAGCAACATCAGTCTTAGTAATACCAACCTGAGAAATATACATGTTACAACTTATATACAAAAGTACTTTACGACCCTAACAATGTTATGATAAATTATTATAATCACATTCACACCTGTTCAGGGAGGAAAAGTAACCTATTTATGTTGGCTAACTCCACTGTTTCATAATCATGCAACAAAAGACGACCTATACCACATCTTGTAAGCACTTCAGCAGCAACACTCCCTACCCCACCAATACCCTGTACAAAGAACAATATTGAAATATGTAACCAAATAAAGTATGAAATATTGATATTCTAATGGAAGGGTAGTTTAGTCTAAAGAATGATGAATTGAAAAGATGGGTTCACTACAAACAACTATGGCAACTGAAAAATCCCGTATTCTTTCGTAATTGTCCACAATACCCATCCGCTGCAGTGCCATGAGCATGCTATAAGGGCTGCTGTCTACAAGCAACAGAATTGAATAATTTAGTTTCCGTTTGTTTTTAATCCGATCTAGAAGAACATGTGTTAACTGATTAACGAAAAGGTTAAAAATCCTAATAAGAAATTTAGGGTTTTGCAAGCAATGATATTAGCCCCTTGATTCGCAACATTTCTAACACGAAAACCACACCGGATTAATCGATTTCATCTGAACTTCATAAGGAACAAACAGACAACATGCAATTCAAGAAAAGGATGAATTTAAATTTACAGGAAGTTACTTGATCAATGGAAGCTTGATGAGATGGATCCGACGATAAGTATAAGGGAAGAACCCTAGAAATCAAAACTTACCAGCAACGAACGATCAAACTCTTACCTCATTCCGAAGGAGAATTCTTGAGCGAGAGAGGTAAAATAAGAAACCCCACTGAAAGAATGATGAAGGAGGGGAGATGGTGGTGGTGAAGATGACCGACGTAAAGTTTTGTTGAAAGAGAGAGATTTTTGAAAACCTAATCACATTCCATGTACAATTGCATGAGCAAAACTGATTCGACTCCTCTCTATTATAGATAGAAACGGGGAGATAAACAAGGAACTAATAAATTGATTGTACGGAAGATTTATTGCTGATTTACAGGGATTCCAATTTGAACTTTGAATTTGATTTGAGCGGAGAGGAGGAAAACCGAATAGTAGGGCTTGGGCAGAAAGGAAGAAGGGGGTAATATCGAAAATTCACTTAGATGTTTTTGGCGGGATAAATCGATTGGGAGGGGCTAATAGAATGTCACGTGGCAAAATTGCTCTTATTTATTAGATGAAGGGATGTTACATATGATATCTAGGTAAGTTAGTTAAATTTAAATAAATATTATTCTATAAACTAAAAAAGTATGTCCCTAGATATATTGTTATGAATACTAATTTGTAGACTGTAATTTATATCACATCGGCTAGATTTAAAAAAAAAAAGTATGTCCAAGATATATTGTTACGAATACTAATTTGAAGATTCTAATTTATTTCACATCGGTTATAAACTAAAAAAAAAGTATGTTCCAAGATATATATTGTTATGAATAGTAATTTGAAGACTCTATCACATCGGTTATAGATATTAAATTCGTCTTGGATATTCAGTGTCGAATACATTCTTAGTTTGTGGGGAATGGGCTCGACATATAACGAATCAGCTTGGCAAACACTATCCCTTGAACTCGGCATGTCGAAGGAAAATTATAATTAATGTGGAAGACTTTACATGAACATCATCCACTAGGGGACCTTAACTACGGTATCACAAAAACAATGTTTATGCTTTGGATATTTTTAGCGACATTTTTATATCTAAAAAACATTTCATTGGTTTTTATAGGTCGTTAAAAAGTTGATATAATTAATTAAAGAGTTGTTGTCCAAGTTGAGCACAAATGCCCAAAATATCTACAAGTTGATATTTAACTAATTATAACATACTATTTTATATACAATTATTATATGCAGATTGTCTTGAATTTAAATTTAAGTTTAGTTAATTACACAAATTCTAAAATGGAAGATATCTGATCACAAAATAACTATTTTTTAGAATTTAAAAGAAAATAATCATTTATTTTGTAGAATGTGGATTTTCTAATAAGTGTGGGAAAAGTACATATAAGAAGCATTAATTAATAACAAATGTTAAAGAGTTTCTAACTCAGCGGTATCTGGTGTTATCCTTCCTCTTTGAGGTCGAGGGTTCAAAATCCCACGGTGGACATAGGTGAAATAATTTAGAAGTAATTTAGTATATATTTGTATTTGTCGTTCAAAAAAAATGTGAAATCCAATAATTATAAGGAATATTATCATAATTAAATATGAAATGTATTAATAATTTCCATAATAAATGTATTTCACATTTAATTATGATAATATTTTTCATAATTAATAATTTTTATATGTGTCTTAAGACATATATTAGAAAATCCTAATGTCATTTGGTATTTGTGGAATAGAAAATGGATGTTGTTTTGTAACATGGTTTCACAAGTTGTTCAAGTCATTAAGTGTACGTTTCGTGTCGATTTATGTGGATAACAAAATAACATTAAATTAAATAAGTATTTTTTTAAATGGTTAATATTATAAAATAATTTATATAGTCTTTTTTTGGATAAAATCCAGAAAAGATAAGAAAAATAGACACATGAGTGTAAAGTATATCAATGATGAAAACGGTAGAGTTCTGGAGGAAGAAGATATAAGACATAACTACAATAATGGTTCCTGTAGCATGTATTTGTTCAAAAAAAAAGTCCAAACAACAAAATTTTTGAATTAACGGTCTTCTGAGCTAGTTTCGTTGCGGTTTTGAAGATGAACGCCATAACACTACCAGGTTGTATGGCACAGAGATAGAGGTGAATCTGAAGACGATTTTAAGGGAAGCGTCAAATCTTGATCTCCATCGAATAGAAGGGGCTTAGGGGGGGGGGGGGGGGTTGTAACGTCCCAAAAAATTTAAGTAAAAATTTCATTTTAAAAGCAATAACCATACATATGAGTTGTTCCAAAACCAATCCAAGTGAATATATCATTATAACATCAGAGTAAAAATCACAAATAACCAAAGCGGAAAGCTCTGATGGATGTTGTGTAGTCACGCCGGGCCATTCCCTTTAGAACTGGAAGTACCTGAAAAATGTTTAAACCACAAACCGTAAGCACAACGCATAGTAAGCTTCCCCAAAATACCACATAACCATACGTGTCTCGCCCTCACACATAACGGGCTTCTCCCTCACACATAACAGGTCTCACCCAACGGGCCTCGCCCAACATACAAACGGGCCCTGCCTAGCACAACACAATGCAAAAGTCATAAAGACATCTAGCATCCTATACAGTATAGTGAGAAGACTCACCTGACTCACAATGCCCGACTACAAACTCAGCTCAATGTCGGACCGACCACAACTATGATGGGTTCTAAACACCACCAAACAATCCACACAAGGCAAACCCTAAGTCTACCTTATCAAAAATAGAAATTTGACCAAAGTCAACCCATGCCAAAAGTCAACGTTTAAAGTCAAAGTCAACAACCCATAATATCAACCAATGACCCTTACGTCCTGACCAACCCTTGGTCACGTCATGGGAGCTCACTCGACCCACTTCCAACTCAACTCACTCCAACTTAGCCAACTCAAAGACAGATAACTCACTGAGTTGACCTTACGTCGTGAGCATCACTCCCTCATGTCGTGAGCCCCAAAAGGTACTGTAGAAATGGGATATATCATTCTCACGATGTGACACCTTATTACGTTATGACTATATTCTGAAGCAAAAATCCAAAGATTTAAGTCCTTAATCCATTAAGCCTTTCACTCTAACTTTTCCAGAAGCCAAAAGGGACTCCAAGGGTCCATAAAAATGATTATTTGATGGACATGCAAGCCTCATGCATGCCCTCCATCTATTCTAGGTCAAAATGAAGAGATTAAACCCAAAATCTTCATGCATGGGACCAATAATCAACCAACTTCTAGATCTGAACATAATCATACTCCAAGGACCCTTAGAATGCATAAAGTTGCCAACTTTATGTATTCCTTCCATTCAAACTTGCTTAAATGAAAGAAATGGGACAAGAACTTAGATCTAAACATTTTTAACAATAAAGTTTGAGTCTTTACCACTTATAATGGTCCAAAAACAAAATGAGATAATCATGATGATGTTTCCTAGCAAGCTCCACTAATAGAACACCTTCTTCCCATTCTTCTCTTCTTCTTCAAGCCAAAAGATGCTCCAAAAGGCCAATAATCAACCAAGGAATTAGGGTTAGGGTTTTTCTGAGGTAAAAGGGTGTTGGAGGTTGATAATGAACCCTAAAAAATGACTTAGAGGGGCTTAAATACGAAGGAAACACTAAAAGATCATGGGTTTGGGCTGCAGTAGTTCTCACGTCGTGAGACCTTATGTCTCACGTCATGAGATTGGTCCCGAAAATGCTTTTCACGTATTTCACTTGTCACGTCGTGACTACCCCAATGGTCATGCCGTGCCAATCAATTTTCTCCACAAAATAGGCTTTTGACTCCTTAAAACCCTAATCGGTGGGTGTTACAACTCTCCCCCACTTAAATTAGATTTCGTCCTCGAAATCATTCCCTACTACTACCTCTACCACGCTAGTTGACCATGCCCGAACTTCCTAATTTTGATTAGGACAGATAAATCATCTCATACAGACGGCCGCCTCCGAATGCTACCATACATGCCTATTCTTAATGAAAATCACTTACCCTGACATAGAAGCGAACCTTTTCACATCAACTTCACTAAATAAAAGTAACAATCACTACTTTTCCCCAATGTCTGAAAGTCCCAAAAACCATGTCTGACTTGCAGACAGATAGAATCATTATGAATCCCGACCATAATGACTTCAATCTGCATCCTGAACCGAACAAATCTCTCCGACCTTGAATTGTCTCGTTGATCCTAGAGAAACAGAACCCCTAAACATTCATCAATGATGATAACCCTACACCCCAAAGCAAGGGCGACTTCCAACACAAGTCTTAATCTTTGGTGCCATACTAACATAAAACTACAATCTGCTAACCATCATTTTCATTTCGATCTATCCGAGATCTCCTGATACTGTGCTGACCCTCCAAAAATCTAGGAGAAAAATTGATTTCTTACTGAGACCGACAACTTCACGCACGGTCGTACAACGAGACCCTGACCAAAAGTCTAACTGATATAGGCTACTCTAGCCTACCTGTCACACCCCCGGACCAGAACGGCGGAAACATCCGGGGGCGGATGACTTTCATGTACATTATCATAACAATTGAATATAAATGAAATAATTATACTTTTAAATAATTATATGTTTCTTCTGAATTGATAGTGTAGTTTTGTGACTCCCAAACTATACCAATTATAGTTTATCATGTTTGTTTGTCAAGAACATTTATATAATCATTTATATAAATACATGGTAATCATCTTGTGTAGTTTCAAAATGTAAGGTTAACATCATATTTTTGGGTTGTAACCCACAAAATAGTGAAATAACTAGAATGTACTCCTTTTTGTTAGAAAAGCTATATTTTGGTAAAAAGCTTCCAAAAACCTTGTAGATTTACAAATCATAATTTTTCTTATGATTTTATGACATGGATTATATTTTGTCTTTGTTAGTTTTGCATTTGAAAACTAATATATCACAATATTTGTATAAAAGCTAGTAACAACCATAACTCATGCAAATAATATCTTATTTTAACATAAAGATGAAACATGTTTCAAGTATTTGTGTGGTAAACCAAGTTTTACTCGTATTCCCCGCCCCCCCCCCCCCCAAAAAAAAAAGACATGGAAACTAAAAAATGTGGGGGTATTAACTCACCTTGAGTGGGTTTGTGGGTTGTTTGAAGAGATGGTGTGAAGATTTCCAAGCCTAAACACTTGAATGTGGTTGATGAACTTCCTTGGAAATGATCTTATCCTAAGAGTTTTAACACATAATAATATAGATGTAACATGATAGTGACTAGATTAACAAGAAAAGATTACCAAACTCTAGGAATAAACTTGAAGGATTTGAACTTGGAAGATTTTTGGATTGCTTCTTGAGAGGGAATGGAGTAAAATGATGTGATATTTGCTTGGCTAACGGTTGGTTAATGCCTTGATATTTGCTGGGTATTAATTTGCATTGGAAAAGGGTGAAATATCTAATCATAAAGTCAACTTTCTTTCCCTGCCTTACCCACCGAAATCACCCTAAAACTACCAAAATCACATGTGTGATTTCGGCCAAGACCTCAACCGAAATCACATGGTGATTTCAGTCTTAAAGCAAACCGAAATCGCATGTGATTTCGGCCCATGTGCCAACCGAAATCACTAAGTGGGTGGTGTTGGATTAGTGTCTAAGCCCGTAACTATTTTGGTATGTACTTGACCCGGTTGTGCATGGTCCTTTTGGGTTGCCTTCAACAAAGCAACTTGATATGATGATTTATGAAGAGAAATGTTATTATGATTTGTTAATATATTATAAGAGTAATATATTAAAAGAGAAATCATATTGTTTAATTAATATTAGTCAGGAATTAATAAGAATTAATTTTGTGGCTAAAAGACATTAATTAAATAAAAGGGACTAGAACTGTCAATTGTGCGATAGTTGAATATTGGTCTAATGGACTCCA